CAAAATCGCTCTCCGCGTCTTCCCCCATTTTGTTCTGCGTCATTTCGTGAAGGACGCGTGGCTCTCAGCGTGGGTCATCCACGCGGAACACATTCGCGCTATGTGATTGGCTGTTGTCTAATCCCCCTTGAGATCTGTGGTGTTAAAAATAACTCGAGACGAATTACCTATGGAATAGGGTGTATATGGGGGATGCCCTCTCTGTCCCCTTTATAGTCTCTTGGTGCAAGTAATTTGATAGTCTGCTACACAGCCGTTTTTAGTGTCGTCGCGCAACGCTCCTCCCACACTAAAAACGGCTGTGTAGCAGACTAGTAATTTGAAGACTGTGGTTTAATTGTAAACATTTTCAGGAAGATTTCCCGATAGTCAGATTTGAGCGGGGCAAATTGCGAGACCTTTTTCTATTAGAAATGCCTCAAAATCTGTAAACCAGGCATCTAAAGCATCCTTAAATGGGTCTTAGACATACCAGCCCTTTTCTTCTCTAGGGCCGTAAGGAAAGCACCCTTCGACAAGTCAAAGCCGCGGTTTGCCAGCTCAATCAGCCAATCTACGAACTGGTTAGCCTGCGTCGCTTCAAATTTAGTTAGAACTGGAGAAGTGCCCTTCCGACGGTCAAAGGTCACACTCCCATTTAGCCTGTCCTGCAGAGTTGATCTTTAAGTTTAAAGCACTAGCAGTACCTGTCATTTTACACCTTATCCAGGTTGAGGTTTTTAGAGAAATATCTTATTGAGAATGTTGAAAATATCATTTCCGAGCCTCTAGATTTCAAAAATTCCCGGGGGAGGATGCCCCTAGAGACTTCCCCCCCGCCAAGAAATTCGCGTCTTCGGCGCGAGTTTTCAAGTGCAGCCTCCCCCGCTCCTCCACAGCAGTCATGCGAAACAAACACATAATACAGTATCTAGCCTCGACAAGTGCGTCAAAAAAATGCCATGAGGAGTTTTTTTGTTGAGTCAATTAACATTGATTATTCAAATAAATATTATATTCATCCTAAGTTTGGTTATAGTTATGGATATGCAATCAATCTTGTCCAGACAATGTACGCAGCTAATTCAAAGATTGTGCACGGTACTGCACAATCTGGGCACTTGCCGTACTTACTGAATGCACAGGCGGCCCAAGCTCTGTGGGAGTTCGTTGGACTTTGAATTTATGAAAGAATGTATGAAAATAAACAAAATAAGTCCTAAAAACCATTTTTTGACAAAAATAAAAATGACTTCCCTTGTGTTTTTGTGTTGTTTTGTTTTGTTTGTTTTTTTTTTTGCTGTCTCTTCGCCCCTAGAGCCCGTTGGAAGCCGTTGTATCGACGATTAATTGTACTAACAGTAAGAAGACATTTTTCTTACTGTTAGTAGTCTTAGTACAACTCAAAATCTTAAACGTCAATAAAACGGCTTCCAAATGGCTCCAGAGGCGAAGAGACAGCAAAAAAATAATAATAAAGAAAACAAAAACACAAGGTAAGTCATTTTTATTGCTATTTTTGTCAAAAACTAGAATTTAGGACGTATTTTGTATATTTTCATACATTCTCTAATAAATTCAAAGTCCAACGAATTCCCACAGAGTTTGGGCTGCCTGTGGTGAATTTTTTCTGACCTCCGTTATTTAGATTTAGCCAGGGCTAAAAGCGAAGCTCCTGTTAGTATCTATAGTTTACTCAAACAAAATATAAAATTGTATAATGCTAAGCGGCGACGGCAACAAAAGTAGCCAAAAACATCAATAGGTCTAATTAGCAAAACAACAACAACAACAACAACAACTTTGCACGTGCAGCACACTTTTTTGTACACTTCTTTGAAGTTGTTTTGCACGACTACAACGAGAAACTTCCAGAAACTCCCTAGTTACACGTTTTATGGAGGAAATGTTGAATGTGTTCCTGTTCGCTATTTTTTCGCTACCACCGTGACTCATTTTCATCTTGGTGGCCGCTAGCATTTCTCATTTTCACACCACCGCTATAAAATTTTCATGTAATCCTTCCAAAGTCATTGGTCTCCTTTGTTTTTTCATCTCTCGTTCTAGCTCATTATCTGTTATCCACGTCAAGGCAGACATTAGAATTAAGTCGAAAAAAAGAGTCGGCTTTGTTGGTGTTGTTTTTTATCACTGAAATTAGGTGTGGCTCTCAGCGCTTTAACGCCAAAAGGCGCGGGTACTTGAAATGCAAAATTTCACCCCAGCTTACATGAACTGGTGGACAAACGTACGGACGTACGGACGATGTTTTCAGAACCAAAATTTTTTGGATGCATAGATAACCAAATTTTCTTACCCATGGTGCGCCGCTACAAATTAAATTTTAATGATAATTATTGAATTTCCTCAAATTTTTAGCTTCTTTAAGTATCTTCCCCTCAAATGTTTTAAATTTTCTTTGAAAATAACACATTTTACAAGCTTATATTTGAATAGCACTAGTTTTACTGTGCAGTAAACAGCGTAGTATTAGCCACTTGCTCACCTAAACAGAAAGGCGCCCTCTTCACTGTTTCTCCAGCTGTAAGCCCGCCAAAACTTGCATTTCAAAGGTGTTCGGTTTCCGTTCGGAATACTTCGTCTACTGAAAATTACTAGGGGCGCCGGAAAAATAGAGTTCGTTCAGTGGCCGTATACTGAACAACATACTGTAGCCTGATAACACTGTGATAAGAATGGCTAAAAATGAGTTATGCAACGAAACCGGCATTTTTTCCGATAAATCCAACGCATTTTGCAGCAATGTTACAAAACAAGTTGCACGTTTTTGTTGCCCGTCAGTTTACCGTAGCTTGATTGCAGCAGCACATGTCACTCAAAGCCTAGCAACATTGACATATCAGGAACGCCCTTCGCGTTCTTGTGCGCTGGAATTTCCCCCTTCCCTTTCCCCTTTTAATGCCTGCCATTAAGGCTTTGAAATATCGATTTGGGGAAGAAACCCTCAATGTTGTGCTGTCTACCTCGCAAGCTTATATCCTGTGGTTCCTTAGCCTGCGTAGCAAGCGTTTCCGTATGGTCTCGGGAAGAAAATGGGGCGGGAAACGCCTTACCTTTCCCCTCTTTCATTTTTTTGGCTGTTGTTCCATTTGTTTTGCGTAGTCAAAACAGAAAATTAGTCTTTCTCTGCACCGAAACAGCAGGGAACGCGCTTGCTACGCATGCTAGTGGTTCCTATATCATCTATGAACCCATGGATCACTGCAGGAGCCATGACCCCTGATGAGTTTAGAATCAGAGTGTACTCTTTAAGAACGATCTTGACTGAGTACTGTACATTTTATTTTATTATCATTATTTTTTTGTTGAGTCACGGTAGATTTAGAGCACGCATGAGGAGCGATCGCCGAAGCCGCGAGGACTACGAGGGCGGAAGCCTGACCAAAGAAAAGACTCTCCCCGCCCCAATCTCTCCTGGGCCATTAATTTGCATGCGCATGGCTCTAAGGAAAGAAAGACGACCGCTCGCAGTCACCTATCGGAACCTAAAAATCACAGGAAATCAATACGCACGAACACCGGAGACGGAGGTGTTTATGACCTCTCCCAATGTAAGATAAGCAGCAGCAAGAACATTGGCTCAGTTAAAACTAAGAATCCTCCAAAGCATAATCTACCCGCGCTAGAAAAAAAAAAAGAATGGGAACAAACGGAAAGTCGTGCAATGCAGGCTTACCAACCCAATTTTTTGACAGCAATTCACTGAATTCAGTAAGTTGTGATTCCTTACTTTTAAGACAGATGTACAAAATGTCGGAAAAACGGAACTCAGGAGTCGTAAGTCGGAAGTCAGAAGTGACGGAACTCAGAAAATTGGATCATCAGGGAAGTAGAGCTTACCTAAGCGCACGTACACAAGTCCCGGGACGCACGTGCATCACCTAAACACTGTACCGAATTGAGAGCAAAAGACATGAAAAGAAACGATCAAATAGTGTAAATACAGCAAAACGCAATCGCCGCAACTCAACCGTAACTTTGCTTGCCGGGAGTGTTTCTTTAAGATACCTTTTTTTTACAAGCGAAGACTACGCGGACCTTAATTTAGATGCTAGTGGAAGGATTTGGCAGTTTGCAGTGCGTGGCCTTCAGTGCGGGACGTTCCGAGTTCGATTCCCAGAGTGTGACTTCAAATCCCTCTTTCGACTTCTTTCCTTTCCGTGTAGCTTAAGTAGCTTTAGATACCCGTAAAACGGAGCACTGGCATGATGGAGAGGGGGTAGTAAGTGCACCGTCGGCCTCCGTCACTTTGTTAGTCAGATGACTATTTCGAGCTACCGATGTAAAATATTAAGGACTCTTTACCTTTTTTGGCGGCTGGCCATAGCAAACTGAATCATTGCAAGCAGAATTGTAAATGAAACTCTGAACTTCCTGCTGAAAGAAACTAGAGACATTGGGATTAAGAAACTGGAAGAAGGTCAGCTGGAAAGTTTGACACAATCCAAGAGGTAACAACTGTCTGATTAGAAGCTAAATGATTCCACAAAGTAACTAAAAGTGTACACCGCTGTTAGAAGGATACTAAAGCTAGACGCAATCCCATTGCATTTCAGGGGATCTCAACTTCAAATTTTCCCGGGGGAGCAAGCCCTCAGACCACTCAGTAATATGCCCAAGCTTGTGCACTGTGGTTTTTCTATACGAGGCACTTATCAATCTTTTCCGAAAACAGAAGCGAATGTCTGAAAGAAAGTAAAAATACTATTGGAGAACTAAGGGGTCGCTGAGGTGACTTTGAAAAAACATGTGCATACCTATAGAAAAATCCTGACTACGCCCCGGAAGTTGGAAGTCGGAACTCGTAATTAGAAAAGTATACAGTGTCGTTCCAATGGCATATAAATTCACGAGGATCTCGACTCAGACATCTCTTGAAAAAGACACTCGTTGCCAGATGATGAAACCTGGAGATTCTTTTGTCGCTTTCTTGGCGATTTTTTACGCTTTTAACAGCATTGTCGTCACTAATGGAAAAAGTGCAGCAACCTTTTACAATGGAAAAGGAATCATTGTCGAAGGGAACCAAAACACCTTCAACTTGGGCCATGACGCAGAAATAAAAACTGCTCTAAGTCAGATACAAAAGAGGTTAGCTTCTCTGGAAGAAAAGATTTCCGCAGTGCATCCACTTCAACGTGGTAAGTAAAAACTACTAGCGTTACTTTTCTGTGTGTAAGCCATAAGGCGACAAAACAGTTCAAATTATGACATTGATTATGAAGATAGGTCCTACATTTGTCAAGACTCTGTTTTCATATTCTTACCGATAATTGCAGAAATGGAATTTCAGAGGTTTCCGTTTAAAATTAGATTCTCTACACATGGTTCGTACAACTTCAGACAAACAAATTTTTAGGACATTCCAAGGGACTTCCAAGGAAATTACAGTTTTCAAGGACTCAGATTTATTCAGTAAGTCGGCATTCTTTAATTAACCTCCTTGTAAAATGACTGGGTATGGCTTGAAATTGCATCTGAGGTACAGAAACATAGCATTTGAAATAAGGATAGGGAAATAAAATATTGTTATATTCTTAGACTTTCACTCAAGAAAACAGGGGCTGCATTGGTTGATTCTTGGTCCCATGGCCTTGAATAAAATCAAAATGTACCTCTCCGCTCGGGAAATTCGCTCGGGATACATTACAGCACTACCCTGCGAACAGAGCGAGTCTCCTTCGATAGCGACTCCTGCTAGCAGGGTATTACAGCACGTGATCAAAGCATGGTGGAAAGTGGCGTGACAAAAGTCGGGAAAAACACTGCCAGTTTTCAATTTCGGTGATGAAAACAAAAACAGTCCACAACACAACCATGAAGCCTCAAGCTAAAACAGATAAAAAGCACGATTTTCATGCTATCCCTGAAGAGAAACAGCAGCCAGTAGAGGAAACAGATGCAGATAATATAAGGAAAGTACTTTGTACATCATTCANAGGATAGGGAAATAAAATATTGTTATATTCTTAGACTTTCACTCAAGAAAACAGGGGCTGCATTGGTTGATTCTTGGTCCCATGGCCTTGAATAAAATCAAAATGTACCTCTCCGCTCGGGAAATTCGCTCGGGATACATTACAGCACTACCCTGCGAACAGAGCGAGTCTCCTTCGATAGCGACTCCTGCTAGCAGGGTATTACAGCACGTGATCAAAGCATGGTGGAAAGTGGCGTGACAAAAGTCGGGAAAAACACTGCCAGTTTTCAATTTCGGTGATGAAAACAAAAACAGTCCACAACACAACCATGAAGCCTCAAGCTAAAACAGATAAAAAGCACGATTTTCATGCTATCCCTGAAGAGAAACAGCAGCCAGTAGAGGAAACAGATGCAGATAATATAAGGAAAGTACTTTGTACATCATTCAGTCAGTGGTTTTGAGGATTAAATTTGTGTTTTTTTAAGAACCGAGTCGACTGTTTTGATTTGCTTCGGTTTTTTCTCTCACGGGCGTTCCTAGGCATTTTCTGTCGCTGCGTATGTTAAAGTGAAAGTCTAGAAATATAACAAAACACTTAATGTCAGGTCCCTCTGGAAACCAGATAGTTTTTTCCCCTCCTAGTCCTAAGACACTGATGACTCTGTGGCCCTCAAAGCAAATTACAAATATAGATTCTACAGCTAAAAACTATAAAATATACTATTTTCAAAGATAATTTAGGATATGATGTTTCCCTCGACTTTGTCTCGGGAAACAGACTCTCGGGAGACGGTTTCCCCTTGGATCTGACATTTTTAATAAGTGTATATTGTTCAAGCACTAAATTTTTTTGACGTTACCTGTGAGTTTTAGCCAGATTTTCCTCGATGAATAAATGCGTAAGGCGTAGATAACGTAGTGAATTTCAAGGACTTTTCAAGACCTAATAAAGAAATCAAGTACTTTTCAAGGACCTTAGCCGAATTCAAGGGCTTTTCAAGACGGACAAGACGACTACTAAAACTCAAGACCTTTTCAAGATTGTACGAACCACGTCTACAAAACACAATTTTTTTCCTGTTTTATCAATATTGTTGCATTCGTCTAAGCCCTCTAGTGAATGCTGCATAGTAAAAGAGGTTTTACTGTTTGTTGTCTTCTTTAGTTTTCACTGCGCTACCGTAATGTTTAGCTCTACCTTTGGCGTTTTTATGCATGTTTGTAAGTAACTGTTGTTAATTGGAGCCGAAATTGACTCTACTTATGAAATAAGTTTTATGATTTTGAAAATTCAGTTTGTTCTGTGGTGATGTATTCATAGTTTCGTTGATTTAAAGTAAATTAATATGTGGNTTTATTCTTAAGTAACGTATTTTTTTTTTTTTTTTTTTTTGTATAGTTGTTTGTGTATAGTTGGGGGGGGGGTGGGGGGGGGGGGGGGGGGGGGGTGGGTGCGCACCCTCTGCACCCTCCCCCTAGATCCGCCCCTGAGTTATATTCTTTACACTTGAAACCGGTATAATTTTTGTTGTACCTAGCTTAACTCAGTTGGTGAAATCGATGTATGTTTATTTCTGTACAGCATCATTCAAAAATTCTTATTGTTTCTTCTAAAGCTTGCAACTTCGACTTCGAAGCGGGCTTACATGGTTGGAAAAAGACTGGAACAGCATTTAACAATCAACCTACCTACGGTGATAACCCAACAGCTCGCAAAAGAGGACAACCAGCCAAACAGCAGGGTGACTGGTGGATCGGAGGGGCCGAAAACAGGCCATCCAAGGCAGCAACCCCTGGGGCACTTCAGGGAGATGGTCCCCAAGGAACTCTTGTTTCCCCGTTCTTTAAGATCGTTGGCAAACGGATCTCATTCAAGATTGGAGGAGGCTGTGACATAAAGACAGTTCGTGCTGAGTTGATCGTTGATGACCAAGTAAGACAGTCTTTCAGAATTGCTTTTAGTTTTGTAGTTTGGTTGTGGGGCGGGAATATTTTCTCATTTTAACTTCAAACACGGTGGGTAATATCACAATAGGTGCAACAACTAGTGATTCACAGGAGGACATTTTATGTTCCTTTATACTCACTTAAGCTTGTCAACAGTTCAGGAGTGGTTGCGTTGCGTACAAGAAGTTCAAATATGTTTCTCGTTTTCAGGTTGTCAAAAGTTCTACTGGTTCATGTTCTGAAACAATGTCTCGCAAATTCTGGGATGTTCAAGCCTTTGTTGGTCGAACAGCACGTGTCAAGTTAGTGGACTTCAGCAGTGGAGGATGGGGTCACATCAATTTTGATGACCTCAGAGGCGATATTAGTTGTGGGCAAATATAAGTTAAACCTCGTCTAACTGTTTCGGGTTTTAACGGATTTTTCGTTCTTTAGAGAGCAGACACGAAAGTTTATAAGATAAGAAGGACTAGTGAACAAAAACGGCAGAAATTGTAATCGGTTAGATCCGGCTAAGTTGCATGTATACGTAACTTAATAAGTAAGGATATATAATTATGCTTTTTTGTAACAGTTAGTTAAACCAAGATCTTGGTTAAACTGTTAATATCTATCTCAGTGGAAATAAAGATTTTAATCATAACACAGCTGACGTCTTGAACTTTAGAATAGAATCATGGTTAAATGGCTATGAGATTCGCCTTTCAGCTATCCACTGCATGCACGTACTCAACACTTTTTTTACAATATTTCCTGATTACCTTTTTACCATTTTTGTTACAGTTCTGAATAAACTTTTACAATAGTTTTTCATGATCCTTCAATAACGTTATTTCAGGATTTTTGGCTATAATTTTAAATAAGATATTTGACGGGAATCATCTGTGTAAATAGGAGGAGACTTGACTAACAATTTACTAATGCTGGTAAGCGCGCCACCTTAACCGGGCAAGAGACTTCCTCGGGAGAGTATCATATTATGCATACAAATATGCTCAGTGCCTTGCCTCGTACCAAGACGTATTTCTTTCCATGTGCGCAAAGGAAGGCGGGAAGGAGAAAACGGGCAAGACGTCGCTTTGCCTCTCTTCTTTTTCTCGTTCCCATGGTTCCATGCGCTTCGTCACCAGTCACTCGCGTTTCGCGATCACCTCACCTTCGTGTATTTCAACCGCCTCGTCCCTACTCCCTTTTTTTGGAACACGGCTCCGCCGCCACAACTTTAATCTCGCACCCACACAATACCGCCAGCTATGCAGGCTAAATGATACTTCACAGAGCAAACAGTGTTTCACAACAAAAACTGCTGACTTTGATTTGTTTCAGTGGTGCAGATCTCTTTAACTTGTTTAACCACGAACCCGGACTGCAGCCATTGAGTGAGTTTATAGAGTGAGTTTATACGCTGAAATAGTCCTTTATTCCTTATTTTATACAATGTACAATTTTTTTTAAAATTGCCTTGTTTGCTGTATCTCAATGAAAAATAGCGTAAGTTGAAACTCCCAAAAATATCTTCTTGTTTTTATTCACACAGTTAATCAGTTGTGTACTCATTCGATGTAAAGCCTCCAGTTTTTGCTTGTTAGTATAAGCTACTCCTGGCCAAAAGTTCAGGGACGAGAGAGACTTGACCACAGTATTGTAAATATTTGCGAGTATATTGTTATATTTCAAGTAATTTGAATTTTATATATTTGGCTGTCATTGATTAGTGGGATAAGATACATAACATGTGGCCGGATAGTGACTTGACACATTTATAAAGTTATTCAGTTCAGTTCAGTAAAGTTCGCGATTCTAACAAAAACTGGGTTTTACTAGCGCCGCAGCCAAGCGCAAATATAAAAATCCCTGTTTCACCGTGAAAACGACCTGAACGCAAGCGTTTCGTCAATGTCCTTTTAATGCTTATTTTTGCGACTATGCGGTTGTGCCTGCGTCAGCAGTGGTTTTAACAATTATATTTTATCTTCTTTTAAAAAAACTTCTCCGTTTAGAAAGTTACAAAAAAGGAAACTTTCGACTTTCACAATGAAGCCTTTTAAAAGCCCTTGTCTGGCTTCATACAGAACACAAAAACCACGGCGCTCCCTTGTCGCCCATACTGGCCGAAACGCTCTTTTCTTCAAAAGGTATTAATAAACAGAGATAAAATTAGCACCCAGGTACTTAAAAAATCACATCAGTATTCACCCTAAATAAACATTGACTCTCAAGTGTCAACAACTGCTATGGCTTCAGAAAGTCAGAGTTTATTTTTGACGGGCATGCCCTGACTGCACCGAGAAAGCTTGCAGTGCCAAAATACTGAAAATTCTGTAAAAGCCTGATTTTCAATGTTAAAAGTCTGCACCTAATTTTCATTTATTTAACTTAAAATTTAGCTGGAGTGATAGATTAATCCTTTAATCCGCTCTATAATGTTAAAGGCGTTATCTTAAATTTTTACATCCGAAATGACGATTTTAGTCACTCTGCTGCGCCAAAATCACCCGTTTTCTCCATTATAAAAGCCGCTTTCTTGGCGCATTCATGTATGATAAGTCCGCCTCAGTGGCTCATTTATATGCTTTAATGTCCGACCACTTCTCCCGATGACTTTTCTTTCATTAATATTCGATTTTATATACATGTATTCTCCGCACTAAGTCCGAAATACCAGTGTTACCGTCTTCTCCGTAGATAACAAGAGCCAAATTTTCATGCCAAATTACTCTTGAAAACACTCACACCTTTAATTTAAACGTGTTGTTTCTCAATAAACGCTTTTCCTTTTGCGCGTCAAAACAAATTACAGAATAATTAATAATTACAATAATAATTACAATATACGATTTAATATATTAGAGTTAATAATTGCATCGCTTTCTCTAGCCTGATTCTCAGACGTCCGAGGTCGTTCGCGGTCCCTTCGAGTCCCGAAGGGACTGCGAACGACCTCGGACGTGTGAGAATCAGGCTTGAGAAAGCGATGCAATTATTAACTCTAATATATTAAATCGTATATTGTTAAGTATATCAGGTCATAAAAAATTATCCAAAATAATAAAATTTCTGGTCAATTTGTTACCGCATTTGTGTTCTTTCTTCTTTTACAAACATTAAAACGACTTTAAGGCCAATTTTGGCTGGGCGACACATGTTGCCCAATAGCAGACCACGTGACTCCCAGTTCAAATGCAGAATACCTGTATAATCTGTAAGTCAAATTACGAATATTAACACCTAATTTTCCCTTTTAACTACTTTAGTGAATTAAGCTGTACTCAGAGAAAACCGATGGAAGTTGGTACCCAGTCAGTTCCCACTGATGAGAAATGAAAAAAAAAAGGGGTTACAGTTTGGCAGAAAAAACGGGAGCCAGTGTTTGTACTGCATACGAGTTTATTCTTGTTAAGTTGGCAGAAATAGTATCAATATGGTTCCTTCAAAGGGAGAGCAATATTATTCATAAACACGGCATTATATTGAAATATTTTAAGCCACCAAATTAGCGATTACTATTTCATAACTTCCATTACGTCAAGAATGCACCGTACATACGTAATTAGTCAATTTCAACGGATAGGAAAAATATATACTGAACACAGGCAGGCGGTGGAACCTGTTGACCGTCGTATTTTGCAGAGGTCACTTACAGAATTTCAATTTCCATCAAGTTAATATGCCTCTGTCTCATGCTGAGGAAATAATACTTTGCATTCTTTTTGCCATTATATTCATCGCTAACATTGTAGGAAATGTATTCGTATGTGCGATCGTGCTTAAAACTAAGAAGTTGCAGAACTTTACTAATATTCTGATAGTCAACATGGCTGTTGGAGATGTCATCGTTGGAGTGATCGGCGTGATGCATATAATTCTGGAAGTTTTGGTTCTCATCAGTTCAGGAAACGAATTCACTCTTCTTTGCGGAGTCTTAAATGGAATCGTGTTGTTTAGTGCGTCAATTTCCATCTACACCATGGCTGTGTTGGCTTACGATCGATACTTAAGCGTCGTTAAACCGATGGAAAGGCGGACACGACTTACAAAAGGTAAACTCAAATACATTTTTGCAGTCATATGGGCTTTCTCGTTTGCCATTCTCGTTCCATGTTTGTATTTTATCCAAAACTACGAGTTTAGAACAGAACAGACAGAACAACTTATCTGTTGGAATACGCTACCGCAGAGAGAATTTCCTCTTGCTTACAGGATAACTCTTTTCACGCTAATGTATTTCACACCGATGTTTATAACTCTATATTTTTTTGGAAAAATCTTTATTCATCTTTGGATACGTAAACACAGCGAAAAAAGTCCATCAACAAACCAAGTGCTTCTACAATCGCGACAGCGAGTCACAAAAATTCTTGGCAGTGTTATTCTGCTTTTCAATATATGTTGGCTTCCATGGTTTGTTTTCTGTTCCTTTGGGGTACTCGAGCATTCTCAAGTACTGGAATCAGGCCTGGCGCTGTTGGCTGTCACGCATTCTACTGTGAACCCTTTCGTGTACTCGTTTCAAAGTAGTAATTTCCGACGGCACATTCGAAGAATTACGAAAAGGAAACACCAAGTGGAGAAAGAGAAAGAACTCAGAAACTTAGCGGCGAAAAACTCAGCGGCAGTGAAACACACTGGGCTCAATATGGCATTTGACACGCATCTCTGATATTACTTAGCTTATTTACTGGAATAAACTTCGTATTGCGCCTTTTTGAAACATTTTATCCCGAGGAAAGACCACTGTACTCGCAGACTGACCTTAAAGAAGTGTAGAAGTGACTTTTTTGTTTAACTTTTATTAAAACTTATCGACACTTAAGGTACCTTTGCTTTCTATTTTGAATTCCCCATTTTCACATTGCCCGCATACAAAGCGTTGTTAACACCACCGACATTCTGCATAACAGTCGTCCCAAGATAAATAGAAGGTAATGTTTACAGTGTTTATGCAAAAATTTGGGTAGCCTGCATAACAGACGCCTTATATGAGCCAAGCGACGCGAACGCTGCATTTTGCGCGAAGCGCGAGACGAGGAGAGGAGAAAAAAAATAAAGCGCCTGCGTTTCGTTTATCTCGAAATGTTCCAGGACTAAAAGAAAAACAAAAGAAATGTTTAAATTTATTGCTTAAGAGGAAAGATGTTCTTGGATTGCTTCCAACTAGGTTAGAAAAAAGCCTGACTCATAAGCTCGTGACCTTGGAATTTGTTTGAACGACACGATTTCCCTCTTATCTTTCCTGTCGCTGTGTTTGAACATAACTAAACTTTGACTGAGCAAATCTTACTTTTGCCGCACTGAGTCTTACATTATTGAAGATGATTTTGCCCTCGAAGTTATTTCCTGTGTGTTATGCTGTTGTCGGTGTTTCCGGTAGCCAGAAAGGAGACAATTTTTGAGTAATGGATCGTGTTTTCATTGGTCCGCCATCAGCCAATACTTGTGGGCGTAGGTGGGCGGAAGAGCCAGAACAATGGACTGGCAATAGGCGCTTTATTTTTTTCTGCTCTCCTCGTCTCGCGCTTCGCATTCTTTTCGCGCTCAAATATTTTAAGCATTTTTCTGTTTTTTTCAGTGGGGATAACTCCGTAATCTTTTAACTTTTGAATTTTTACCTTTTACAAATTAAAGATTTTAGAGAATTATTAAGACACTTTATGATAAACTCATTTTAATTTTTTTTTGTCAAGCTAAAGACGTGACACTTAAATAAAGTTGTTATGTTATGTTATATGTTATGTTATGCTTCGCCCAAAATGCCGCGTTCGCGTCGCTCGGCTCATAAAGCGCCTGTTATGCAGTCTATGCAGGCTAAAATTTGGAGGGGTTAACAACAAGCATTATACGTAATGAAAATGGTGAGTCAGTAG